GGTCTACTTAGCATATAGGAACACAATGTCACCCACTTAGAACTGGGGCACATTAGAGGGTACTATTGAGGGAGCTCCGGTTGTGCCTAGTAAGGATTCGGCCTTGCACTATTCTAGCCTGGAATGACATAAGAATAAGAAGCATTATCAAGTGTCATTAGGGGAGATTCCGACTAGTGCTTAGATACTACTACAGAAGTTTTGGTTGTGCCTAGAGGGGAGCCAACCTTGCATTGTTCTAGCCTGGAATGGCATAGGAATAGGGAGCATTGTAAGGTGTCATTAGGAGAGCTTCTAGCTAGTGCTGAGTAGTAAGCACGTATGGAGTTATAGGTAGGTTGAGAGGTCACCTATCACGAGCAACGACTCCTCCATACCTGTTAGATCACCTTCATGCCCAAGACATACGAGGGCAGCCTGACTTATGCAGAGGAAGCGCGATGACTTGATGGACCTTGGAAAGTAGGAAACTAGCGGATAAGTGCACCCTAAAACCTGAATACACTCTGATGGCTGACTTACTCCCTTGGAATAAAAGTAAATAGGGTATGTGAACCTTATGAACCTAAGAGGGCTAGAAACGAACCCGAGCCAAGGAATTGACCACTTATAGGGCTCTGATTGAGCACATCGCTTAAGGAACTGTGCAACTACAGGGAAGGCCTTTAGGTCGAGTCGTCTTTCTTCTTCATTATTTTAATGTCGTTTCTTGAGTAAATTGTTTTGATGTGATTTCGTGAACATGATTTTGTATCTTTAAATGCTTTTACGTCAAATTTTACTGTTGTGTCTGAATTTTGAAATCCTTGCGTCCCCCGCTTTACAATTTTGAAAAAAACTTACCACTCTTTTTACCATTGAGTCCATGTGGCAATCCCTGATTCGAAGACTCGAAAAGCGGGTCATTACATTGGTTAAATTCCCATAATGTATCATCTTCCATGGTTAAAACTTCTTCTTACGTCTCTAAAAAGGTACAAAATAACAGAAAATCAAAAGAATTGACCCAAAAACCCGTAAGAGGGCATGACAAACAACACTCAATGCCCTGACTATAACAAGCCATCGACAATTAATCATTTTTTGGAAGTTTCCACAGCACAAACCCCAAATCATATCATAAGGCATATGAAAGCAGATCAGTATCGATCAACATCCTAATAACAACATGCAAGCTTGCAAGCAGCAGGCGGTTGAGTGTTAGAGGTATTTTGCAAGAAACCCAATATGTAATTCATGAACAACTAAATAAATGCCTTATCCTTTCTTATGCACTTTTTTTCCTTTTTGAAAATAAATCAAGCTTTCATTGAGAAGAATGAAAGAAAGAACATGGGCACATATAGAACAAATCCACAAAAGGAGTTCCACAACTACCTACAAGAAGAAACTTCCGTCCAAAAGAGTTGAACAAAACTGACAATTATAAAAATTCGCATGGTCAAACACCCATAAAGAGGCATTAAATGCATGCCACAAGATTATGCTCTTATCCCGAAATGAAGAGTTCCCAAGTACCTCCTCATTTGTAGAACATCACCTTTATTAGGGGCTAAACGAAGCCCAAAAGCACTCAAGCACTAACTCTAGAGGGAACGAGCGAACTGACAATGATCAATGTCCTCCTATCACTTCATCCACAGTATTATATATAGCCTAATGAAACGATAGTCAGCTCTATCATATTCAAATTACCACCGACCTAATCGTAACCAAAAGGTGAAATGTAATGGGGATACTAAATGCAACTAACAACTTCACCCAACTTACAAATTGAACATGGTCATAAAAGGCTAAACCAAAATGGAAAACGGACGGCCATTCAGGACAAAACTCATAATTCAGAATTCCAAAGCTATGGCAAGAACACGCAACGCCCAAAATAATGAAAATAACAATAAAAGATCCGATACCCATTTCTGAGGAGGGGGACTCCAGTCCATTCCCAATGGAAGAGGCGACGAACCGTCATGCCGGCGATTGGGGGGGCAGCCGGTGGGCATTTCTTCCTTATTTCTTGCAGTCCAGCTAGGACGGTAAACGTCGTCGTCTTCATCGAGGAAGACATTTGAAGAAATAGCGGACGAAGCGAGAAGGCGAGAGAATGACTGACCGTACGATTCGGAGTGGCCAAAATTAAAATCCAACGGAGACAGGTCATGAGCATAGAAATTCATTTCTAATCAATTTTGTTGTTACCGAATTGCTCGGCAGCCGAAGCAAATCTAGAAATTTGGGATTCCGGCAAAAATGGTCGCCGGAGAGCCGTATTCGCGCCAGTTTTTCACGAAACAGGAGGTTGGCTCTGGAATCGTTCCCAGAGTCGATACGGCTTTGCTGCCTTTGTCGTGGATTTTGGGCCGTTTTCGAAGCTTCTGCGGGTTGGACTCGCTTCCAACGGCGTGATATATTTCAAAATTTGTTAATAACAAGATTAAATATTACTTCTATTGATATTCAATGATTTAGTTTTTTAATTATCTAATTATTAATAATTTAGTCTATAAATTTGAGTTTTCAATTCATTTAGGCTTTATATCGACACTTCTTTCCTATAATATTTTTAAATTATTATAAATTTTAAACTAAGTTGTTAAATATTTAAGGATTAAATAACTTTAAAAAAAAAGAAAAAAAAATTAAATCACAAATTTGATATTTATGATTTTGATAAACACATTTCATAAATTATTACTAAGTTGCAAAACTAACGCGGTTGGAACGGGAGAGTGATAGACTCAAGATTTGAAAGCATGTGTTTGATCTGTGTTTATAGCACTAATGATAAATGATTCATATTCAAAGACATGACAACGTAACGTAAAATATACTCGAAAAACAAATGTGTTTATATGGAACACCATGACCATAGACTACTCTCATTTGAATTCTCCTCCGCTCGGAGTTTCTTTGTATTTGGAAATGTTGAAAAATGTTAAGTACGATTTTTACATTTTCTATTTTCAACTAAAACTTGCAAGGATAGCATTAGTACCTACCAAGGTCACACACATCATTTCGACTCATTTCTCCAAAAGAGAGAGTTATAGCCTTTTGTACCTACCAAGGTCACACACATAATTTATGGTTCAACGTTTTGAAGAATCTCTATACCCATTAACACACTTCATATTAAAATTTTCATGTCAACGCATATATACAAAAATGAGCTAAGCCTATAGAAAGATCACCTTGATGAAATTCCTGATTCAAACGTGTTTCTCAGCAACACGATGATCCGAGACTACTCATGATAGAGTTTCATTCCAATGAATTTTAAGCTTGCTCATTGCACTTTCAATTATCTATCACAAGTTGTGGGGATAGCTCAGTTGGGAGAGCATTAAATCGAAGATTTGAAAGTCATGTTTTCGATCCATGTTCACCGCACATATATACTATCTTTACTCGTGATATCTCTTTAAACTCATTAACGCACATCATATTAGAATTTCCACGCCGACTAATTCCTGCACAAAAGAGTTTCCAGTTGTGGGGATAGCTCAGTTGGGAGAGCGTCAGACTGAAGATCTGAAGGTCACGTGTTCGATCCACGTTCACCGCACAAATGGTGTATACACTCTATATTCATGATGAACCATATGCAAACGAGATTTAAAAGTCTTTTGTTGTATGCATGCAAAGGTCACATACATAACTTGTGGTTCATCTTTTGCATGTATCTCCCTAAACCCATTAACACACATCATATTAGAATTTCCACGTCAATTCATCTCTACACAAGAAAATTACCCGTTGCGGGGATAGCTCAGTTGGGAGAGCGTCAGACTGAAGATCTGAAGGTCACGTGTTTGATCCACGTTCACCGCACAAATATGGTGTATACACTCTATATTCATGAACCATATGCAAAAGAGATTTAAAAGTCTTTTGTTGTGTTTGCATGCAAAGGTCACCTACATAACTTGTGGTTCATCTTTTTCATGTATCTCCCTAAACCCATTAACACACATCATATTAAAATTTCCACGTCAACTCATTTCTACACAAGAAAATTACCAGTTGCGGGGATAGCTCAGTTGGGAGAGCGTCAGACTGAAGATCTGAAGGTCACGTGTTCCGATTCACGTTCACCGCACTCATCTGCAAAAGAGAGTTAAAGTCTTTTGTTATGTACCTGTAAAGGTCATGTACCATAACTTGTGGTTCATCTTTTTCATCTATATCCCTAAACCCATTAACACACATCATATTAGAATTTCCACGTCAACTCATTTCTACACAAGAAAATTACCCGTTGCGGGGATAGCTCAGTTGGGAGAGCGTCAGACTGAAGATTCAGGTACATAACTTGTGGTTCATCTTTTTCATCTATATCCCTAAACCCATTAACACACATCATATTAGAATTTCCACGTCAATTCATCTCTACACAAGAAAATTACCCGTTGCGGGGATAGCTCAGTTGGGAGAGCGTCAGACTGAAGATCTGAAGGTCACGTGTTCGATCCACGTTCACCGCACAAATGGTGTATACACTTTATATTCATGAACCATATGCAAAAGAGATTTAAAAGTCTTTTGTGGTCACATACATAACTTGTGGTTCATCTTTTTCATGTATCTCCCTAAACCCATTAACACACATCATATTAGAATTTCCACGTCAACTCATTTCTACACAAGAAAATTACCCGTTGCGGGGATAGCTCAGTTGGGAGAGCGTCAGACTGAAGATCTGAAGGTCACGTGTTCGATCCACGTTCACCGCACAAATATGGTGTATACACTCTATATTCATGAACCATATGCAAAAGAGATTTAAAAGTCTTTTGTTGTTTGCATGCAAAGGTCACATACATAACTTGTGGTTCATCTTTTTCATGTATCTCCCTAAACCCATTAACACACATCATATTAGAATTTCCACGTCAACTCATTTCTACACAAGAAAATTACCAGTTGCGGGGATAGCTCAGTTGGGAGAGCGTCAGACTGAAGATCTGAAGGTCACGTGTTCGATCCACGTTCACCGCACTCATCTGCAAAAGAGAGTTAAAGTCTTTTGTTATGTACCTGTAAAGGTCATGTACCATAACTTGTGGTTCATCTTTTTCATCTATATCCCTAAACCCATTAACACACATCATATTAGAATTTCCACGTCAACTCATTTCTACACAAGAAAATTACCCGTTGCGGGGATAGCTCAGTTGAAGATTCAGGTACATAACTTGTGGTTCATCTTTTTCATCTATATCCCTAAACCCATTAACACACATCATATTAGAATTTCCACGTCAATTCATCTCTACACAAGAAAATTACCCGTTGCGGGGATAGCTCAGTTGGGAGAGCGTCAGACTGAAGATCTGAAGGTCACGTGTTCGATCCACGTTCACCGCACAAATGGTGTATACACTCTATATTAATGAACCATATGCAAACGAGATTTAAAAGTCTTTTGTTGTGTGCATGCAAAGGTCACATACATAACTTGTGGTTCATCTTTTTCATGTATCTCCCTAAACCCATTAACACGCATCATATTAGAATTTCCACGTCAACTCATTTCTACACAAGAAAATTACCCGTTGCGGGGATAGCTCAATTGGGAGAGCGTCAGACTGAAGATCTGAAGGTCACGTGTTCGATCCACGTTCACCGCACAAATATGGTGTATACACTCTATATTCATGAACCATATGCAAAAGAGATTTAAAAGTCTTTTGTTGTGTGCATGCAAAGTTCACATACATAACTTGTGGTTCATCTTTTTCATGTATCTCCCTAAACCCATTAACACACATCATATTAGAATTTCCACGTCAATTCATCTCTACACAAGAAAATTACCCGTTGCGGGGATAGCTCAGTTGGGAGAGCGTCAGACTGAAGATCTGAAGGTCACGTGTTCGATCCACGTTCACCGCACAAATGGTGTATACACTTTATATTCATGAACCATATGCAAAAGAGATTTAAAAGTCTTTTGTGGTCACATACATAACTTGTGGTTCATCTTTTTCATGTATCTCCCTAAACCCATTAACACACATCATATTAGAATTTCCACGTCAACTCATTTCTACACAAGAAAATTACCCGTTGCGGGGATAGCTCAGTTGGGAGAGCGTCAGACTGAAGATCTGAAGGTCACGTGTTCGATCCACGTTCACCGCACAAATGGTGTATACACTTTATATTCATGAACCATATGCAAACGAGATTTAAAAGTCTTTTGTTGTGTGCATGCAAAGGTCACATACATAACTTGTGGTTCATCTTTTTCATGTATCTCCCTAAACCCATTAACACACATCATATTAGAATTTCATAACTTGTGGTTCATCTTTTTCATGTATCTCCCTAAACCCATTAACACACATCATATTAGAATTTCCACGTCAACTCATTTCCTTTTTCATGTATCTCCCTAAACCCATTAACACACATCATATTAGAATTTCCACGTCAACTCATTTCTACACAAATGTATCTCCCTAAACCCATTAACACACATCATATTAGAATTTCCACGTCAACTCATTTCTACACAAAAAAATTACCCGTTGCGGGGATAGCTCAGTTGGGAGAGCGTCAGACTGAAGATCTGAAGGTCACGTGTTAAATTACCCGTTGCGGGGATAGCTCAGTTGGGAGAGCGTCAGACTGAAGATCTGAAGGTCACGTGTTCGATCCACGTTCACCGCACAAATGGTGTATACACTCTATATTCATGAACCATATGCAAACACGTGTTCGATCCACGTTCACCGCACAAATGGTGTATACACTCTATATTCATGAACCATATGCAAAAGAGATTTAAAAGTCTTTTGTTGTGTGCATGCAAAGTTCACATACATAACTTGTGGTTCATCTTTTTCATGTATCTCCCTAAACCCATTAACACACATCATATTAGAATTTCCACGTCAACTCATTTCTACACAAGAAAATTACCCGTTGCGGGGATAGCTCAGTTGGGAGAGCGTCAGACTGAAGATCTGAAGGTCACGTGTTCGATCCACGTTCACCGCACAAATGGTGTATACACTTTATATTCATGAACCATATGCAAAAGAGATTTAAAAGTCTTTTGTGGTCACATACATAACTTGTGGTTCATCTTTTTCATGTATCTCCCTAAACCCATTAACACACATCATATTAGAATTTCCACGTCAACTCATTTCTACACAAGAAAATTTTCCGTTGCGGGGATAGCTCAGTTGGCAGAGCGTCAGACTGAAGATCTGAAGGTCACGTGTTCGATCCAAGTTCACCGCACAGGTAAAGGTCATGTACATAACTTGTGGTTCATCTTTTTCATCTATATCCCTAAACCCATTAACACACATCATATTAGAATTTCCACGTCAACTCATTTCTACACAAGAAAATTACCCCTTGCGAGCAGCAGAGCGTCAGACTTAAGATTCAGGTACATAACTTGTGGTTCATCTTTTTCATCTATATCCCTAAACCCATTAACACACATCATATTAGAATTTCCACGTCAATTCATCTCTACACAAGAAAATTACCCGTTGCGGGGATAGCTCAGTTGGGAGAGCGTCAGACTGAAGATCTGAAGGTCACGTGTTCGATCCACGTTCACCGCACTCATCTGCAAAAGAGAGTTAAAGTCTCTTGTTATGTACCATAACTTGTGGTTCATCTTTTTCATCTATATCCCTAAACCCATTAACACACATCATATTAGAATTTCCACGTCAACTCATTTCTACACAAGAGAATTTCAAGTTGCGGGGATAGCTCAGTTGGGAGAGCGTCAGACTGAAGATCTGAAGGTCACGTGTTCGATCCACGTTCACCGCACTCATCTGCAAAAGAGAGTTAAAGTCTCTTGTTATGTACCATAACTTGTGGATCCACGTTCACCGCACTCATCTGCAAAAGAGAGTTAAAGTCTCTTGTTATGTACCATAACTTGTGGGTCATCTTTTTCATCTATATCCCTAAACCCATTAACACACATCATATTAGAATTTCCACGTCAATTCATTTCTACACAAGAAAATTACCCGTTGCGGGGATAACTCAGTTGGGAGAGCGTCAGACTGACAATTCATTTCTACACAAGAAAATTACCCGTTGCGGGGATAACTCAGTTGGGAGAGCGTCAGACTGAAGATCTGAAGGTCACGTGTTCGATCCACGTTCACCTCACAAATGGTGTGTACACTCTATATTCATGAACCATATGCAAAAGAGATTTAAAAGTCTTTTGTTGTGTGCATGCAAAGGTCACATACATAACTTGTGGTTCATCTTTTTCATGTATCTCCCTAAACCCATTAACACACATCATATTAGAATTTCCACGTCAACTCATTTCTACACAAGAAAATTACCCGTTGCGGGGATAGCTCAGTTGGGAGAGCGTCAGACTGAAGATCTGAAGGTCACGTGTTCGATCCACGTTCACCGCACAGGTGGAACCATCTGCAAAAGAGAGTTAAAAGTTTTTTGTTCTGTACCTGCAAAGGTCACATACATAACTCTTTTTCAAGTATATCCCTAAACCCATTAACACACATCATATTAGAATACTCATTTCTACAGAAGAGAGTTACCAATTGCGGGGATAGCTCAGTTGGGAGAGTGTCATACTGAAGGTCACGTTGTTTGAAGTGTCATACTGAAGGTCACGTTGTTTGATTCACATTCACCGCACATGTATATATTCTCCTGATGTTGTTCCTTGACATATTAGAGGATAAAGAGAATACAGTGTTTCAACACAGTGAGATGTGCATGGATTGTCACAATATGGCAAAGTTGTATGACAGAGGAGTAACCGTTAGGGACAGAACCATATTCCACCATTTCACATATGGTTTATGTTTGTGTAAAGAATACTATTGATGGCTTCATTTCTTAAATCAATAACCTCCCCTCTCCCTTTCTAATCTCTTTCTGGTTGTTTACTGAGGCTCTAAATTCTTAAAACCACGAGGAAATGATATAAGAATTTGTATATGTTCAAAGAAAAACACAAATATTTCCGCCTGATTACAGAAACTTTAAGATGTATTAATTCGATACTAACATAGATCATCAAATGACCAGTACACTTCGGCCAAATTCCATTTGGCATTTGCTCTTGAAATCATAGGCTGCATGAGAAGGCCATCTAAATTCAACATGCACCAGGGTCAAGAAAGGGAAGTCGGCAATGTAGACTGATTGCTTTATCAGTCTGTCAGAGATCCAGGAATGAAGAACTGAAATAATACTGTCAAGCAGGTGCCCTGAGGAGCAATGCCATAGAAAGTGCAATTTGGCTTGCCCAGGTAATAATGAAGGCTCTTGGCAAAGTGCCTCACTCTCACCTGTACAGATTGAACGTCTCCCAGCAATACTGCCCTGGTCGATCTAGTCAGAGCACTTAGATTTTGATCTTTAGCTGAAGCATTTGCTAGTTCCCCTATGACAAATAGTTTCCGATACTCAGCACAAGGAGTGATCCATGTTGTGGAAAACTGCATGTGCAAATCTCCATACTTGCTTATGGTGACATTCAGAAAATCCCCAACAATCCTCATTCAATTCACAAAGTTGTACAACTGCTTAAGATTAGGAACCTGCACAAGCTTCTGAGGCGAATCCTGTGCCATATCTAGAGCAGTTCGAAGTTCAAGAGCTTGATCTCTTGACTAGGGCTTTAAGATTGGTACATCCAGAATGACGGAAGACTTTTAACGTTTAATCTCAAATGCAAGGAAAGGGATTGGTTGGGCGCAATTCAGAGGAAATTTCTTCACTAACATAATTTGGAGGCGATTTGCTGCTGGACCATTACCAAACTCAGAACAAATGCTAACACTACTACGAACGGCACAGTGGAGAAGAGAAATGTCTACGGTAAACACAACTCGCTCATGGAGATTCTGTGGTCATCAAACAGAGATTCTTTACAAAACTGAGCAGTTGATTGAATTCCACCGCCACTAAGGAGGTTATGCAAGAAGATGGCATAATCTCTGGTCAATTAGAGATTGCATATCTAGCACATCTTGTCTAGGGCTAGTAGAAACCTCTTCTCCAGGAGATTTACCGCATAATCCGTAAGATATGCCTTAAACTTCATTACTCAATCTACTACTATGTCTTTCTAATCTAACTGGAAGAATTAACGGAAACGATATGATTCCCGAAAAGATAATGGAAACTTCTTAAGCTTAGAAAAAGATCAACCAGAATACTATTTCCCCAAAATTTTAATATAGATATGAACATAGCAACGAAAACGGAATGATAAACACATATGGGAGATAAAACATAGGATAATCGAAGTCTATCGGTTCAAAACGCACCATAGATCAGAAAGTGATCGATTAGCATCGTGTTTCGTTTCAGTAGATTAGTTTCTAGGAAACCAGACATGAAGTTTAAGAACGGGAGAGAAGAGAACGTACCTTGAAGCAGAAGCTATGGTGCTCGGTAACTTCTCTGGTAATCGAACCCAGACGCGAGCTTGACGAAAAGGAGCATTGCAAAATTCGCGCCAAAGCCACTGACAATGCGGGTTTTCTCTTTGCTTGGCGCTTGTTCTTTTTTCACTCTTACATAAAAAGCTAAATTATAATAATTAGGCTAATATTTTTATCTTGTAATTTTTGTTTTATTCCACGTTAGTGTATATATGCTTTAAATATTGAATTTTAATCTACATAGTCTCAATAGATCTTAAAATTAATTAAATAATATTTTTGGTACAGTTAAAAATCCAATATTTATAAAAATAACAAATAAAAACTAATTAATACTATTTTTTTTTTCTAAATTGACTAAAAATTATTAAACTTTAAAAAAAAAAATTCAAAAATGCTACCGTAAAATTCTTTAATATTTTTTTATTATTTTTAAATTTATAGATATTTTTAGAGACAGGTACAAAGATTATGGATTTTTTTTTTTATTAATTTAGCATTTAAAACTTAAAAACTAACTCACTCATTAAGATTTTCTTATTGAAAGTATACGTGCATAATCTATGGTTTATGTTTTTGAAGAATCTTTATATCCATTAAACACTTCATATCAAAATTTTCATGTCAACCCATTATGCAGAAGAGAGTTATAGCGAGTTGGTGTACCCAGGCATTGTGACGTAAAATATGCACATCACCTAGATGAAATTCTTGAATCAAATGTGTTTATCGGCAACACCATTATCATATGCTACTCATGATAGAGTTTCCAAAGAATTTTAGAGCTGGTCATTACACTTTTCATTTAAAATTGCAAGTGGTTGGGATAGTTCAATTGGGAGAACTTAGACTGAAGATCTGACCAAAGTGTTTACAAGTATATCTTCCACGCTACATAGTCAACCAAAGTATTTGCAAGTGTATCTTCCCCGCTCCACACTACGTAATCTCTCAACAAAATTTCTCGCTTAAGACAAACATCAATTTTTTTTTTTTCATAAAGTAATTTAATTCATGTAATTTAAGAGAGAGAGAGAGAGAGGCGAAATAATTTGAAGTATAAAATTAAGAAGAAACAGAATGGTTTCTGAAATTACAGTCCCTAGGAGAAGAAAGAGGAAACAGGGGCAAAAGCCGAGGCGGCTGGGATCCTCCGGGAGGGCTGATCGGACTCGGGTGCAAATAAAATCCTTTTCCGGCGATCGCCTTCTCTTCCTCTTCACAAGGATTCCCACGTGCTACAAAATCCAAAGTCGACACCGGCGATACCATTTCGATTCCGATTCCGATCCCTGTCAAACCATCGCCGCCGTTGAGCTCCAGCTCCAGCTTCTTGCTACTCCGCCGCCGCTCCTGCAGACGATACGACGCTGATGGGGCGTCAGGCGCTCCGGTTAGCTTCTGAACTATTGCTCGGAATGATGATGGGTCGGCTTCGACGAAGGTCGTGGTGGAGGAATGCACGGTGGCGGCGGTGGCGATGGCGGTGGCAGTGGCGGCCATTATTGGAGGAAGAAATTATGAAAAACAGAGGGTGGAGAAGGAAAGAAGGAGAGTGGGGGGGTTTTATTGGGTAGTGGGCATTTTCAAAGGTTGAAAAAGTATTGCTTTTTAGAGTGTCGTTGACTCATTGATTGATGGAATGGGAATGATCTTGCAATGAAGCTTCTTCAACCAAATGAAAAAAAAAAAAGGAAAAAAAGCAGAGGAAAAAGAAAAAGGTTCCTTACAAAGTCAATGAGCTAATTAATTTATTATGTTGGTGGATACATTTGGTTCGGTTCTTGACATTCTTGCAAGTTGCCGATAATCCATCAATAATTAAGACCTTAAAATATTTAAATCTTCCAACTTGGACGTGTTATTGAGCTAAAAATGAGGTTAAAATATTCAAATCTCTCAACTTGGTAGACATTGTGGGATGTCTAGCTCTCATACCATTTGTAAAGTTGACCAATATTGTCTTATTTGGGCTTTCTCTTTTGAGTTTCTTTCAAAGCTTTAAACCAGTGTTACTAGTAAAAAGTTTTCACATCCTTATAAAAAGGTATTTGGGACTCTCAGAGACACAATGAATGAACGAGTAGAAAGTAGCATTGAAAATTGAAGTTTTGGAGTGGACGCTTTGTCATTGAAATAGATTGGTGGTGAAAGGGTCAACTTGGAGCACGGAAATTCAAAACAACATACACAAGTCAACCGTGTATTATTATTACTTTATAAAGAGTCTAGAAAGAAAAAGTGAAAATGGTAGACGTAACCCTAAGTGTAAATACCTCGTCCTCTCGATATCTCTTTTTGTTTCACATTTTTAGTTTGATACCACAACAACAACGAATCTGGAGCTGAGTTGAAATTTGGGTATGAATTGTCAACTCTATGATGAAGTCTACTCTTCCATATACGTTTTATTTACACGAACACTAAAAAAAACACATTAGTGTAAAAGCAAAAAGAATATTCCCATTTGCAATCAAAACACTTTTGTTTTGAGTAAGATTGGTGGAGTCCTTCAAATTCCCATTTCCTTTTTCTTTATGGTTGCGTGAAGAGAATGATAAGGTATTAAAAATTAGAGTTTAATAAATAAATAAATAAATAACATTTAATAAGTTTGATCCTAACCATTTAATTTTGTGTAATAAATTTTGTACTTTAAAAAAAATAGAATTCAAATTCAATTTGATGTCTAACCATTTTTATTAATTTAAAAAGATATTAAATAAGTCGGAAATAATTTAAATAAAAAATTTGGAAAAGAAAATGAGAATAAAAAAAGGGAGGAAAATGGTGATATTACAATAATACCCATTAAAAAAAGGGCAGTACTTGAATATGGAGTGACCCTGACCCACGAAAGGAACATCTGCCCAAACGATGCCTTATCTTCTAGATCGGGTATCTTAATCGGATGGCTGAGAATTGAAGATGGCCCACCAGGGTTTTCTTTTTTTATTATTTTTAAGGAAAAAAGAAAAAGAAAAAAACAAAAGGACCGATTTGGACCGTGAAAAAGTCAAAAAGTGGTGGCTTCGGGTCCTGGTGGCTGGTGCGGTGTGGTTGGATGCCTTTGAAAAGAAAGGAAGGTGGCTCGAAGAACCCAAAACCAACCACAAAATATAATGGCTAAGTGGACCATGTTCCACCAAAATTAAGTCCATCTCCAAATTTAACTATTTTTTTTTAAATTATATTATTAATGATGTCGGATAAATCTCACTTGACTTTCACGTACTTAAATTTATTTATTGAAAAAATGATAGACAAAACTCCACGCCACCGACACACCGCTGATTTTATACTTGTCGCAAATTTAAATATTCAATAAAATAAATTCACAAGTTTTCTACCGAAATAAAAAATTATTAATGAATGAAAAATATTTCTTTTGTTTACCAACAACATAATCCCACTTGACTTCAAGTGATTTGCAAAACTGCACGCTACTAACACATCGTTGATGTAGTACTTGTCGCAAATTTACATTTTTCTACATAAATAAAAATTATTTCTTCGATTTATTAATGACACAATACGAAATATTAGAACGACCAACTACCATTTACTTTATTATTTTTGTTATTGATGTTAGACAAATCTCACTTGACTTTTACGTGCGTAAATATATTTGTTAAAAAATGATGTGATCTTTAAAATAGATAAAATTGAACGATCTAGTACGTAATTTAAAAGTTAGTATTATGTTGGTGGTTTTTATAGTTTTCTTTTTGTTATTTTATTTTTTTATTATTATTCTTTTTGTTTATCAAGAAATTAGAAAAGATGACATTAAATTGAAATAGATGTATTTTAAATTGGTAGTAGTAAAATAAATAAATAATATTTAATTATTAATCTATAAAATTTATAATTAACTCTTTTTAACTCAACCATCCTATTAATTATTTACAATTATAAATTTGTAAAATTTTATTAAAATCATTTATTGAGAATAGTTGTTTATAGTGATTGCTAAATAAACACAAAGACCTAAAATTGAGGCATATTATTTATAATATACCGGTTAATAAATGAAAATTAAATCATAATTTAGTTGGCTGAAATTATTTAATAATTCCACTCAATAAAAATAAATTAACTAATAACAACTAGTTATTTAAAATTAGTTAATTTAATTAAATTATAAAAATTAATTAAAGTAACTAAAAAAAAGTTATTTATTACAAAAATATTATTAAAATTAATTAGTTAATTTAATATGTTACTCTATCTTAATTTTCAACTCATTATAAACTAAAAGTAATTATTCAATAAACCTATCATTTCGGAGACTTAAGTCGTTCAGGAAGTTTGGAACATAAATTTCAGGAGATGAAATTCACTCCTTTCTAAATGGGAGCAGCCTAAACCGTGAAAACAGGATTGTGGGAGAGTAATACAAGCGTCGTGCTACTAGGCGAAGCGGTGGAGTGTTGCACCCTAGATGACGAGAGTCTGACCCGAGTAGCATGGGATACATGGAATCCCATGTGAATCAGCAAAGACCACCTTGTAAGGCTAAATACTCCTGGGTGACTGATAGTGAAGTAGTACCGTGAGGGAAGGGTGAAAAGAACCCCAATCGGAGAGTGAAATAGAACATGAAACCGTAGGCTTCCAAGCAGTGGGAGGAGACAAGGACTCTGACCACGTGCTTGTTGAAGAATGAGCCGGGGACTCATAGACATATAAAGTAAAAAGATGAGTAGTTTACTTAATTATTGTGTTAGGGTTTGAACAGTGAGGTCCAACACTCTCACCGGTCTAAAAAAGACTTAGGTTAAAATTGTATGGTAAACGAATTGTTTATTAGAGAGTCAATAATAATTAAGACATACAACGTAATTATAAATAATTATATGTCTTGAGATCATTCAACTTCGGCCCCTCTAGCTCATTTTGGTTAGTTTTTGATAATATAACACGACTGATTCATTCAGTTGAATTTTTTTCCATCAACATAAAAAAATGATTATAATGATATCAAAATGAGAAAATGTTGGATGCACATAATTCTTCGAGGTCAACGTTTTTGCTGGTTAGCTACTCGAAAAAAATAAAGAAAAGAAAGATTATTTAATGACTAAGAATTTGAATGAGCAAATATTAGAGGGTAACCCGATACAAAACTGAGATCATTGTTCATCCCTCGTATTCTCTACCATGAAGTGATAAATCCATATTTGCAATCTCTATGGAAAAGAAAGTGTTTCGATTGAAATCAATTTCCACCATTTGATTGATGGTTCATTCTGTCCTCTTCTAGACAACGGTAGTTCATAGCTCAGAGAGAAATAATAGAAGCAACCATTTTCCTCACCAAACCTTATGACGGTTTCGATTTAAAATTTTCGAAGTTCTAGAATATTTAGCTTTTAAGCTGGTATTTTAAATTTTAGTTATCTAGTGGTAGATAAAATAGTGTGTAAAATAGGAAAAAAAAATTAACACTACATTTAAAGTAATTTTTAGAGAAGAGATTCATGTAAGAATTAAAACATTTGAGCTAAACCTTACATCATCACGATTCAAAAGAGCATTGAAGGTTCATTCCGTTCATAAAAATCAATTAATTTCAGTAAATTTTAAGACATAACAAAAATACTCAAATTTTACGCTCAATTTAGAACAGGATCAAGGGGGTTGATCTTCGTTGCCTTCGACAACACCAAAGAAAGGGCAAAAAAAAGCTCATCTCTGATTTTTAGAGTCTCGATGATGTCAATGTGAAAGCCGCAGCTCCGTTGGTTCTGAAAAGAAACCCCAATTTGAATATTGCCCATTATCATCCGATCAGCTTCGGTTTTCAGGTTTGCCCTTATTTCCCTTTTACCCATTTGTTCTAATTTCAGTTTACCCATCAAATTTGGGAGTGTTTATACTGTTTCTGTGTTTGAATATTGATTTGAATGATGGGTTTTATGGGGTTTGTGTAGAACTTGGGCATTTGGATAGAGAATTCATGGGGAATGCCTCATCGATGCTTACTCAGTATGATATTGAAGAAGTTCAAGAACACTGCGACAAACTTTGTGGGTTGATTCATACTTGTGTTAGATTGATTTCTTCATTTGTTCTTGTTCGTGGTTGATTTTGGCTTACTTTCTGTTGGTTTTTGCTCTGTTTATGACAGTCTCCCAACAGGAAATAGTGTCCTTATATCAGAGATTCTGCCAACTTGATAGAAATGCTAAGGGGTTTATTTCAGCTGATGAGTTCCTCTCAGTTCCTGAATTTGCTATGAATCCACTTTCTCAGGTTTCTTTTTCTTGGTTCATCATTCAACTTTGAACTTGAATCTGTTTTTGTGTGCTTCTTGTGCGTTGGTTATATCAGTGGTGTTTTTTGTTTTACTGTGTTCTTCAGCGGCTGCTCAAGATGGTTGATGGTTTGAATTTTAAGGATTTTGTGGCTTTCTTGTCTGTATTCAGTGCTAAAGCTAGTATGCACCATAAGATTGAATGTAAGTGCTTGTGTTTCTGCTGTTTTCTCCTGGTTTGTTCATTTAAAATGTCAGAGATCCCTTGATAACATGGTCAATAATGTTATAAGGAAAGGGAAAATGTTTTCATCATTCCCCTCTCAATTATTGGTGGAAATTCCTCAAACGACGTATGAGTTATAATTCATGATATCTAAGATGGGCTAGCGTAAGTTGTGTGAGATCCCACGTCGGTTGGGGAGGAGAGCAAAATATTGTTTATAACAGTGTGGAAACTTCTCCCTAGCAGACGTGTTTTAAAAATTTTGAGGGGAAACCTTCAAGAGAAAATCTAAAGAGGACAATGTCTGCTAGCTGTGGGCTTGGGCTGTTACAAATGGTATTAGAGCCAGACACCGAGTGTGCGTCAGCGAAGAGGCTGAGCTCCAAAAGGGGTGGACATGAGACGGTGTGCTAGCAAGGACGTTGAGCCCCAAAGGGGGTGGATTGGGAGGGTCCCACATTGATTGGAGAAGGGAATGAGTGCTAGCGAGGATGTTGGGCCCCGAAGGAGGGTGGATTGTGAGATCCCACATCGGTCGGGGAGGAGAACGAAACATTCTTTATAAGAGTGTGGAAACCTCTCCCTATCATACGTGCTTTAAAAATATTGAGGGGAAGCCTAAAATGGAAATCCCAAAAAAGACAATATCTGCTAGCGGTGGGTTTGAGCAGTTACAAGTTGTCACTAAAATAACCGAGATGTCATGGATTATAAGTTTGATGACTTAATATGGAGGAACTTTTACCATGATATCTACTTCAACTATCATGGTTTTGAAATACTCTATCAAAGAGTTCAGTCACTGCACAAAACTCAGTTTGAGACAGTTGTTATTCCTTACTAATTGTTGCTACAATCTCTTCATTTTAGTTATTTTCAAGGTATATGATGCAGACAGCAATGGCAAGGTGTCGTTCGATGATATCATTGAAGTGCTCCGGGATTTGTCGGGTCCATTCATCTCCGACAAGCAGAGAGAGGCATGGCTTCTTCCTTCCCTTACTCCCTCTCCAACTTATTGTTACCTGAGAATGCAGTGTGATTTATTTAGTGTGATACATAGCAAATAAAGCCTCTGAAACATCAATCCATTCAATTATCGGTGTATCGAGTAATCGACAAGAAACGAAGTTCATTTTTGGATGAATGATGATATGCTGGTTGTGCATATATAACACGAGCATTTACGCAGCTCGAAAGGAACATTTCAAATATGTTTCTTTTGCTTTGTGTTCATATTGTTTCTTTCACCTTCATAAACAAAATGTCCTGTTAGATCAGATCAATCCGGAGTATAAGAATTTATCTTACCTTTTTCTCTTTCCTTGCAGCAAGTCTTGTGCCAACTATTACTAGAAGCAGGCTATACCAGAAACTCTCATTTAACACTGGACGACTTCATCAAGGTACCTATAATGTTATCTAACTTTTCACGAGTAGTAAATTTTCAACACCGAACGACATCGTAACTTCATAATTTTCTCGCAGGTCCTTGGTAATTCAGGCATAAAAATGGATGTAGAAGTTCCAGTGGACTAGCCAGCTATTGATCTGTTAGGCCAAGCCTACCAATTTTACTCTCAGAAAAAAAGTTGAACTCGACGAGTCTCGACTGCAGACCGTGAAGCTTGATGTTCCATCCAGAACTTAGACCAGAATCCTTTCTTTTCATCTGTTAAAGAAATCTGCAATAGTTTATACTCACAGACAATCCTTTCTTTTCTATATTTGTAAGAAACAGAGTCAATAATGTCAATTAATGATGTCCTGTTGCAAAGAAAAATAACACTGATTGTCAATCATGTGTCATTGTCACTGAGATAAAATCAACGCAGACAAAAGAACGTATTGACATCCACCAAGTAAACTGCATGATTTCATTGGAACATTTTAACCATAGTAACTTATCAGTTTGTACAGGTACTATCCGTGGAGGGTAAATGGGAAACCAAACAAAAATATCCATTCTGTTCTTAGCTTTCTCAAATTTCTCCTCTGTAACCACCTGATCCAAAATAATCTCTTCTAGAACTTGCAATTGCCATGCTTTTCTGGTGTTCTAATTTGGGGCAGTCCCGGATACGGTGACCAAGACCGCCACAATAAGCGCAACCCTTGACTCCGCTGGCATTGGTGATCGCTTCAACATCCTCCATTGGATCGTTTAGCTCGGCCAACACTGGTGGAATCCTCTGTTTTGCTTCTTGCAGAAGGTGCTTCAAATCAAGGAGAGTTGTTTCGCTTTGATTCTTGTTTATGAAAGTTGTCGCAATTCCTGTCTTACCACACCGTCCAGTTCGTCCTATCCTATGGACATAGTTCTCAATTTCGGCTGGCATATCGTAGTTGATAACGTGCTGAATGTCTGGAAAATCTAAACCCTTTGATGCAACATCAGTAGCAACTAATACATCTTTCTTGCTCGCCTTAAAGGATGATATAGCATACTCTCTCTCTTCCTGATCTTTTCCTCCATGAATTGCCACTGCTTCAACACCTTTCAAGAGAAGGTACTCGTGAATGTCATCGACGTCGGCTTTATTCTCACAAAATATCAAAACTGGAGGTGGAGTTTTCTGCAGGCACTCAAGCAAGTAAACAATTTTCGCCTCTTGTTTCACGTACTCGACCTCCTGGATAACATCAAGATTTGCAGCTCCAGCTCTTCCCACGTTAACAGTTACAGGCTTTACCAGGGCACTTCTTGCAAAATTTTGAATTTTGGTAGGCATTGTGGCAGAAAATAAGAGAGTTTGGCGTTGCGCCTTGAAATGATCGAAAACTTCCCTTATATCGTCTTCAAAACCCAGATCCACCAATCTATCAGCCTCATCTAAGGTAAGATACCTATGACAATAGCAGCATTTGTATCATTATTTTCAATCAAGAGGAAAACTAAATTGAGAACGTAAAGTAATCATCAGTTTGCATCAGCTAAAATAAGTCACGGGAAACAAGTTGTATAACAACAAAATCATCTACAAAAATAACCTTAGAAAAAAAGTTTATAGTGAAGATGGAAGCAAGCATGGATTTCTTTGCCAAACAATTGACGGTTTCCACACGAGAGAAATATTATCGATAAGTTATGTTGCTACTCGCTATCATAGGTTGGCTAGTCCATTTCAAATTCGTTTTCAGAGAGTAACCCAAATGATGTAATAGAAACTGAAGAAATATTTTACCTGCAATTGTCAAGGTTCATTTTCTTTTTTGCCAACATGTCCTTCAATCTCCCAGGGGTTGCAACAACAATATGAACACCCTTCTTCACAATCTCTATTTGTGATCTCATATCCACTCCACCTATACAGAGTAAAGGCCTTAGTTCAGGATATCCAGCCTCCTTCATGGGAATTAAAAATTGTTCCACCACTTCGTAGGTCTGTCTAGCAAGCTCTCTTGAAGGACAAATAATCAAACCAAAAGGCCCTTCTCCAGAAACAATTGGCATCATGACCTCTTCTTGTAGTGCAATCATTATCAAAGGAAGAACAAAGACTAGGGTCTTTCCCGAACCCGTAAATGCAATCCCAATCATATCTCTACCAGATAAAATCACTGGTAAACCTTGGACCTGAATGGGAGTAGGCTGCACAATTCCCTTTTCTTTCAACTTCTTCAAAACTGGTTCTGGGAGTCTCATGTCCTTGAAATTTTTAATTGGCGGTGGAATATCGTCACCATCAACTATAATGTGCCACTGTTTGCGTATTAAATCACATGCCTTTCTCGGCATCCTCCTGATAGGCAATGGTGGCTTCCATCCAGTTAATAATGGCTCTGTGTAAGTAATTCCTTTTGCTAATTCTCGAACCGACATTAGTGTCTTACGATCAGATAAGTGCTCAATCATCTCCTTCTCCTGCTGAACAATCTGCTCAGTTGGACTAACTTCTGGCTGGTCACGCTTCATCTGAGACGCTTTTACAAGGAGACTAGGTTTAGCTTCAGCAAGTCTTGATTTCTCCAGTTCTTCCTCAAGAGCAGAAGCCTTGCCCTTGCGCATAAGAATCTTTTGAGCTTCCATTGCTCTACGCTTTGCCACGGGAACATATTCAACATAATCCTCTTCTTCTTCCATGCTTTTTTCGTCCTTCATTACTACATCCATCATAGAATCCCCTCTCTGCGACCAAAAATAATCAAAAGACAATCATAAATCTAATCCCTAGACACTTCGCAGCTAACCCTAGAAACTATTAGATTTCATATTACACGCAGATAATAATTACAAGTAGCCAAACAAAAAAACCTCAAATGCAGATAACAACAATAACAAGACTCTCAAATTAGATTCTCCCGATTAGGGTTCGAGATTCAATCCCATTCAGCTTCGAACCACCCAGAGACAGATTTAGAGTGAAATACATGAACCGAAGAACTTAGTCGACAAATGATTCAACATAAAGAACCCACAAACATTATCAAAAGGCAAAAAAAAAAAAAAAAACAACAATTTACTCGAATCTGTTCCACGGGAGGTAGATCACTCCTCTACTTCTTCGTTGTCAGGATTCGAATAAGAACCAAATGGAGAAAGTGATATGGATGATCTAGACTAACGAAAAGTACTGAGACACAGAGGGAGCTTGGTCGGTGGAGGGTCTCCGTCGAGAAAAGCGGCAGCGGTGGGCGGAAGGAAACAACAACCGAGTCTTCTGAAATTCTGACTGCAAAACCGTCTATCAGCGGCGGGTGGAGTTATTAGTAATTTAACTCTACCTTCACCAATTACTTGATTCTTAATTTCTATTATAATTTTCCAATTTGCTAAAAATGATTTATTAGATTTACTATTTTAAAAAAAATTAATTAAGTATTATTTTTGTTAAAAATGATTTCTTAGATTTATTTTTGTTAAAAAAAATTATAAATTATAAAATTTTCTAATTCTTTGGTATAGATTCTATTAAACTTTAGTTGAACTCTAGCCTCGATACTGTTGGACCTTAATAGAACTCTAGTCCTGATCTAGTTGGACCCTAGTGGTAGGAGACTATCGTTACACATTAGTGGGACCTTAGCCCCGATCTCGTTGGGCCCTAACCCCTCCCCTAAGATTAAATAAAGTTAAACTATTTGTAAGCCCCACAATTGCAAATACATCTCTTCTTGTCAATTATGATATGATAATTTGGTTCAAAATAATCCAACGTCATTGGACTACGTCATTTTCACATTTTAAATTATCTATTTGTATTATTTACTTAAATAGTAATAATGTATTAAGAAAGACCCACAAAACCTTTAATGTTATTGAAAAAAAAAAATTCAACAAAAAATTTAAATCTTTATGTTCTATATTTGATGCTAATATTTTTTAAATTATCTATTTTAATTTTTTTAAAGCGACTATTTTTTTGTTTTTATGCAAAATAAATTTACCCACAAAAAAAATATTTGACATTATATCACAATATTTTGAAAATTTTAATATTGTCTTGAAATTATGATGATAGAAATAAATTTAAAAACTAAAATAAAAAAATCAAATTAATTCGTAAAAAAAAAAAATCATATCAATTATTCAAGGAAGGAAAAAAATCACATCAAACTTTTTTTTTTAAATATGGAAATTAAAATAAACTAAAATAGATATTAGCTAAACCCCTAAGTGGGACCCACACCCCGCCTTCTTATCTCATCAAACGAAGCACACTAACGCCGAGCCACCATCTCTCCCAAGATTACACGTGTCGAATATCTGTTGCTTTGGAGTTTGGTTCGGCTCGTGACACGTCATACTTCTCTTTCTATTATTTCCGGACCCCTTCTTCACTCTTGTTCTTCGTCTAATTGTAGCTTTCCACTTCCGAAGAAGAAAAAACAGAAAAAAAGAAAAAAAAAATCCATTTGCGCTGAAGACTGCGTTTGATTTTTCTTTTTCTTTTTCATTCATTCTTAGCCTCCTCCTTCTTGGAATCGTTTTTTTTTTCCTTTTCGGTTAATGTATTCAGTCTGATCATGTTGAGGTATGATCGTCGTTCTGTTCTTTTCTTATTTCTGTTGATGATAGTTTGTTTCTTTTTTCTTTTTCCTGTTGATCAGTTGTATTTTCTTTTAGAATTCTTTAATCTTTCCTTGGTGGATTGGAGAAGTTTTGATCGACGACGAGGGCTAAAGTGATTTTTAAGAGCTTGATGATGTTCTTCAGTCGTTTGATCATCTCTAAAACGAGGGATTTTGCATTTTAAGTGGTGCGATCAGGGGTTTTCTCCTGTTTTAATTCCATGTTTGAATGTTTTTCATGTTCTTATTTGATTTTACTCATTTAAGTGTTTTTTGTTCTTCACTCTTGCTGCAGAGTGAGATTGATCATGTGAAATCTCAGTATGTTTTTTCCATTTCGATGAAGAATAGTCCATGAGATGTTGTTAGTTTGAAAGTATCGAGAACTGACATGGCTGACTTCAAGAAATCATGTTTAGAAATGTCAGATGAGCATAATCATAAGAAGTTCATCAAGTTGCAATCTTTTGTACTTTCTTATATTTATGCTTGGACGTGTTGTTGAGATTATTGCTATGCTCTATTCTGGCAGGGCGAAGTAACGTGCATTTGTTCTTTTTGGTTATTGCATGGCAACAATTGTGTTCTGTTGACGTTTTTATGACATATATTGATTACGGGATATCTTGTCGATGGGGGGAGCTTGTTCTAGGAAGAGAGACCAGCTGGATAATGAAGATAGTTTCCCTAGAGGAGTATCTGGAAAATATTGCAAAAGTGGGAGTTCCAAATGGTTGGCAACATCATTTTCTCGTCCTTTTGTAGATATCGATCCTGGAAGAGTGAAATGCTGTTCTCTTATGAACTTGTGCATCCAGAGAATATGCAAGGTACACCATTTTCACTACCTTTTTGTGTGAGGTTAATGTTTTCTGGTGTTCATGTAGTGGTTGTTTTTGTATATCATGGCTAATTTCTTTGTGTTTATTTGGATAATAGGATATAGATCAATATGATAGCTTTGAGATGTTCCCGAGGGATATTAGTCAGCTGATCCTCAATGAGTTGGTGTATTCCCAGCGTCTAACTGATCTTTCAATCGATGCTTTTCGGAATTGTGCTCTCCAGGTAACTGAGAGTCAACTGTTTCATTAGTTGGTATCAATCTAGTATTATTTTCGAAATTTCTTTTGAACCAATTGAATTGCTATAAATATATAATGTAAGGAATATACTGTGTACTTTCAGGATTTTCACTTTGGAGAATATTCTGGGGTGAATGATGCTTGGATGGATATCATCTCCTCACAAGGATCTTCTGTACTTTCTGTGGATATTTCTGGATCAGATGTATCCGATGATGGATTGATGCATCTCAGGAATTGCTCAAATCTCCAATCCTTAGATTTAAACTTCTGTGAACAAATATCAGATCAAGGACTGGCGCATATCGGAGGTATATATCCAATTATTTTCAATCTGATTCTCGTTTCGATGCACATAGAGTGAGGGTCTTTTTTTTACTTTGTTTAACCATGATGAGTAAATCTTTCAGGCTTCTCAAGGTTGACAAGTCTGAGTTTTAGGAAAAACAATGAAATTACCGCTCAAGGGATGATTGTCTTTTCTCATCTTGTTAATTTGATAAGATTGGACCTAGAGAAATGTTCTGGCATTCATGGTGGCCTTGTTCATCTCCAAGGTACTTTCTACTTCTTGAAGTATTTTTTTCTGGAAAGAATATTGCCGGACAAAAATTGTATCCATGTCCAGATTGCTTTAGCTTCAAGTAGAATGTAGTCCCCAGGAAATAAGCTTTGTAATCGTCCAAGCATTTTGATTATCTATTTATCTGCTAAAAGAGAACCTTAAACATTCGTTTAGCGGCTTGTTTGTTATAATACTTGATTATTCCTAATTGGAGGCTTACACAGAATTGTGCTTTATTATTTATATTAGTGAAGTGGAGCTGTTTTAATACTTGAGGGAAGCTGTTCAAATATTTGTTCATAGCATCTCTAATGCTTGCATTATTCTTAATGAAAGTTCTTTTAAGCTATAGAAAATTAGTGGAAATGGCGACTTATAGTTTTGATATTTACACTTTCTCAGGATTAACAAAGTTAGAATCTCTCAATATCAAATGGTGTAATTGCATCACAGATTCTGATATGAAGCCTCTCTCTGGTAATTATACTTTCCCAGGATTTATTCTCTATTATGTGTAGTAGATATTTCATATACGGTTCTATTTCTTTTTCATAGAAGAAAAAAAATGCTATTGAGTTATTATTTTTTTCAGTTTATCTACCTTTAAAGTAACTTTGGTTGAATGTGGTGTTATTTTATGATTAAAATCATCCTTTGGTTGAATGTGGTGTTATTTTATGATTAAAATCATCTGCTAACCTTTTCGTGTACATATTTTCGTTTTGTAACTGATTATTTCTTTTACTCGTCAGGGCTAACAAACTTGAAAGGATTACAAATTTCATGCAGTAAGGTTACCAATACTGGTATTACATACTTGGGAGGTAGGAGTTACCGTTGCCCATTTATTTTTATTCGAATGCTCAATATAAGGGCGTTTCTTTATCCATAGTGTTCAGGTTGTATTTTTTTAGGGCTGCTAGGGAAGCTAACAGAGCTCGAGGTTTTATAGTGTTGACATATGCTTATCCCATGTTCGATTCCTTATGATTTATATCATGCATATTATCTATTTCCCAATGTTTTATGTAGCAGGTTATCCATAATCTTTGTTTTGCTTGACCTTATGACTTTGCTTCTATAAATGACAGTGTCGATTATGCCTTCTTTGCATTGCAGGACTGCATGAACTTTCACTACTGAACTTAGAGGGTTGTCCAGTTACAGCTGCTTGTTTAAACACTCTCTCAGGTTTACTATTCTCGACACCTGTTTATCCTTTTCAGGGTGCTAGTAATTTAATCGGTCTCTTTTTCAAGTGCTTACACGACATACGGTCAATAATAGACACTGCATTCTTCATTTGGAACTTTTTTTCAAAATTGGAAGAGAGGCCAAAATATGTATTTATATTCAGTTTATCATACCATACTGAACTTGGGTGTCCTTTTGCTCAGCTCTTGGTGCCCTTCAATATTTGAATCTTAGCAGATGTCTTATAACTGATGATGGAAGCGAGAATTTTTCTAGTAAGTTTCAACCAGATTCATTTCATGAAATTGCTTGTCCTTGTTCGTTTTAGTATTCTACCTCTTCTCTCATGCTCGTGTGGGAGTGGTCGTACTTATGATGGACTACTTTTTCTACAGGGCTTGGGGCCTTGAGAATATTGAACTTGGGGTTCAATGACATAACAGATGATTGTTTGGTCCACTTGAAAGGTTGGTTTACCTTCTGAAATCCTTTTTGAATCCCTTTTAAAACCTCATTTTATATTTTCTTAATGCCAATGAAGCTGCAAGGGTAGCTATCTGCCCATCAGCACCCTGCCACTGATATTCACAAGATGTTGTTCGTAATTAAAATTTTATTTTCTGCGCAACAAGTTTACAATGTTATGACGATTTTAAGTTCGTAAAGCTTATGAAGTATTTACCAATAAATGAAATTGCATAATAATCTCCTGAGCTGAGTCATTTTTCTTTATAAATTTAGTTACATATATATTTTTAATTTATGAAATTTTCAACAAAACAGGTCTGACGAATTTGGAGAGCTTGAACTTGGATTCATGCAAGATTGGGGATAATGGCTTGGCTAGCTTGAAAGGTTTACATTTAAAACTTCTAACATCTCTCTTTGATGTTGTTGCAATTTTGTTTACTCTCTATTCTTGTTTGGCCATGTTACGAAAACTGTAGTTAAATCTTCCTTAATGTTCCTGTAGCTACGAACACCTGACCTCTAGTTTGCTGGGCCATTTGGTTTTTGGTTTTTGAAACAAAGTTTATAGACGCTACTTTCACCTATTACTTCTTTGTTTTGTTATCTATTTCTTTTTCAAAGTTTTCAAAATCCAAACCAAGTTTTCGAAACTGAAATACTTTAGTTTTCAGGAACTTGATTTTGTTGTTGGAACCAGGATAGGAATTCAAATCTGTTCTTAAGAGAAATGAAAACGATCATAAAGAAACTGGGAGGAAACAAACACAATTTTCAGAAACAAAACACTTAAAACAAACGTGATTATAAAGAAACCGGGTTCCTTTTGTTCCTTTTTTTATTTTCCATCTTAATTATGCCAAAAATATCATTGCCTCAGTGCAGTTTGGTATGAAGGGTAGCATTTTAGATGGTTCATCAAAATTTGATACCCCTCCTCCTATGATTTAACTGTAAGCTTTATACCTGATTCAACAGTGTTCCTTCATGTAGCGTAGTACCTCGCCTTTAACAACACATTTATCCGCGCATAGTTCTGTCCCTGTGTGCCCTATGGCTTCTTTTATCTACTTTACCTTTTTTGTGCCAATTAATTGCTAAAAATTTCTGCTAATGTTTCAGCTCTCCACCGTTTGAAATGTTTGGAGTTGTCTGACACTGATGTTGGGAGCAATGGTCTGCGCCACCTATCTGGTTAGACATTGGCACTACCTTGACAATATATTGGTTTTTTTTTTTACCTAATCAGTTTTTGTTAATCTTGTATTCTATTTACAAATTCGAGCGATCATTTGAGAAACATTCAAATATATCAAAAGACATATGACTGTGGGCTGTTGACTGTTGACTGATGGGTTATGTGTTCAGAATCCTGTAGGTACCGTCTGATGATGGTCTTAGTTCTTTGATCATATGAACAAAAAAATTAGATTGCCTTTTGGTTTTCAAAGTAAAAGCAGAAGGGAATGTTATTGATGTTTTTCCATTTAAACTGTAAGCTTTGAGTGATGCTTGGTCCCCTGTTCAGTTCTTTGCTTCTATGTGGACTTTAGTGACAAAGCCTTTTGAAATAATCCCTTTCGATCTTATTTTACTCGACTGGAGACCATTTTTTTCCTTTATTGTTGGCTTTCTTTTTTGTATGTTCCGTTATACGCTATGAATATTGAAAATGTTGTTTCCCTTGGTACGTTATGCTGTAAGCTTCATCACGTACTTTTAACGATATAGTCCAAATGATGATTTGCCTGTACTTTGTTTCGACCTTTTAGTGTCATCCAAACCTCGTTACGCTTGGCTTTTACAACCATCGATCTAATATGTTGTAGGTTTGTTTAAACTCGAGAATTTGAATCTCTCATTCACCGGAGTTGCAGACGGTGGCTTAAAAAAGCTGTCTGGACTCTCATCTCTAAAATCACTGAATTTGGATGCTCGCCAAATCACAGACATTGGACTTGCTTCCCTAACTGGTAATTATGCTTGTAACGATGCTCTCATTATGGAGGCCTTTTGAAGATCATCCTGTATGATATGATGTGCCTTTTTATTCCTCTTTTGCAGGTTTAGTGGGATTGACTCATCTGGATCTTTTCGGAGCTCGCATTACAGACTCTGGAACGAACTATTTACGAAGTATGTGTACATTCACATTCAAATCTTCGTCTGTTTCCAGAATGAAACATATATTTTACGATGTTTCATTCGCAAAACTCTGAAAAGTTATAAAGTTTCAGTTCGTAGAGTAATCTTTGATCTTATTGGTTGAATTATACAATTTGAATTGGAACTTGTAAATGTCATAGGAAGTTTTTGATTTGTGTGGGATCTTCTTTTGGTGAGCAGACTTTAAGAACCTGCAGTCACTCGAAATATGTGGCGGAGGATTGACTGATGCTGGTGTAAAGAACATCAAGGACCTGTCTTCCTTGATGGTGCTTAATCTGTCACAAAACTGCAATCTGACTGATAAAACCTTGGAGCTAATCTCAGGTACTGCGTTTAAACTCGTTAACAGTTCTACATTTTTGTATGTTGCTCGGCAACTCGTGTTTATGCGTCTTTATCGATTTGATGAACACAATGAATGCGCTCTTCTTTTGAAAGAGATTGGTTTCATTTTCATTCTACCTTTGAAATCTATATGCTCTGTAAATGCAGGTTTAACGGGGTTGGTTTCTTTAAGCATCTCGAATTCGAGAATCACCTCTGCGGGACTGCAGAATCTGAAAACTCTCAAGAATTTAAAGCAGTTGACGCTGGAGGCCTGCCGGGTTTCGGCAAGCGACATTAAGAAGCTTCAAATGACCGACCTCCCAAATCTAGTGAGTTTCCGACCTGAGTAGAGGTATGAAGAAGAGATGTCCTGTGATTCCTTGTAAATAATAATATATCCAGGCAAGTTCTTTTCAAACTGCACATAGTTTTGCATTTGTTTCAGGCCATGAGCTTTTGAGAGACCAAGTGTTCTTGTTTGAGTCTACTAAAAGGCTTTCTTTTCAATCAAGTTCATTGCAAAAATTGGATAAGAATTGCAGAAAGCTTGCAATGCAATCCATGGCAGAAAAAGTGGAAATGTGAATAATGCAGATTAAGTTTATTTGATTATCTGTTCAGTTTGATGTACAAAACTGGAAATGGATGCTCTTCCATTTTTTTTTAAATAATTTATTATCAAAAGGATTACAAAATTAAATAAGCTCTTAGTTTGTAATCTGTTATTTTATTACAATTTATTCTCTAAATTTTAATAAATTTATTTTGAGATTTGTAATTATTTAGTTACTATTGTACTATAAATGGCTGAAGTCGTCTTGGACGAGGTGGAAAATCTTTGTTTGAATGGAGAATAATGGTAACGGTAGCTATAAAGGACATAAAGGACATTTAACGGCTCCTAGACCACCGAGGAAAACTTCTTAACTATTAGCTAGTTGGGATTCGAGATTATATTTTTCATCTTTGTTAGTAATAAATAGCTAATTGGGGTAAGAGATTATTTAAACGGAAAAATAATCTTAACAGTGGCTATGAAGGACATCTAACTAGACCACCAGTGAGGAGGAATGATTCATCGTTAGTAAGTCATGATAGTTGGTCAGGATTGGAGATTATATTCCTCGTCTCGGTGTTTGATAGCTAGTCAGAATTAGAAATTATATTCATCATATCTGTTCCCGATAGCTAGTTGGAGTAGTAGGGATTGAAGATGGGAGATTATGTTCCTCATTTCTCGTCCCTGTGCACTTCTAGATTTCGTGTAACGTGTCATATACAAATAATTTTATAAAATAATCATATAAAAATAACTAATATTTTTTATAATTATTTAGAATTTGTACATTGTATTTAAGATTAAAATATATGGGACGTCTGGAAATAAAGTTTTTTTATTTATTAGAATCTAATTATTATATTAATTGTTGCATTAGAAATAAGTAATATTTATGTTTGGTAATAAGATTATGCCACGTCATCATGATCACATATATTTATAGGCTGAGGGAATTGGCTTAAAATAAATGAAATCCGGATTTCAATTTTGAGATGGACCGAAAGAAATTGAACATTCTTTTTTTAAAATCTTTGGAGCTCCGATGAGGGAACAAGATCCTGTTGAAAACTCCACCATTAACAATTCCTTCCGATCCTCAAATTCCCATTTTCGACGTTGTTCAAATCTGATTAAGCAACGACGAGAAACAGACGATGGTGGACCATTGACCCTGAGATTTCGGTTTTTCCGTTTGATTTTAATCGGAGAAAGAAGAAGTTTCAATTTCAATTGCTTTCTTGTTGGATGAATCGCCTCAACTGTTTTCTCTCTGGGATTGGACAATGTCGATGTCATTTTTCTCCTTGATTTTTGTCGTTGCATAAATTGTTCAACGTTTATGCATCGAAATGGATAGCAACACAAAATACGTTGAATTGCAATCCCAGATTGATGTTCAAACTCCCAGATCGGCTGCTCCGAATCATTCTAATGATCGATTCGATGATCTTGAGTTTGATGTCAATTTCCATCCGCTTATCACTGGGGAGGCTCGAGGTGGATCGGGGATGGCCGGGGCTGTTTTTAACCTAACGACTACGATTGTTGGAGCTGGGATTATGGCTCTACCTGCCACCATGAAAGTTCTTGGAGTGGTTTCCGGGTTAGTTTTGATAGTTTTGATTGGTATTTTATCTGAGTTTAGCGTTGAATTGTTAGTGAGATTTATGGTTATATCCAAGTCTTCGTCATATGGGGAGGTTGTTCAGTGTGCATTTGGGAAATCCATGAAGGTCCTGACTGAAATCTGTATAATTGTGAACAATGCTGGTATTTTGGTTGTTTATTTGATTATTATGGGGGATGTTATGTCTGGTTCTGTTCGTCATATTGGGGTTTTTGATCAGTGGTTAGGACATGGATTTTGGGATCATAGGAAGCTTCTGGTTTTGGTTGTTTTGGTTGTTTTTCTAGCACCCCTTTGTGCTTTGAATAAGATCGACTCCTTGAGCTTGACGTCGGCTGCTTCGGTCGCGCTCGCAGTCGTCTTTGTTATTATTGCTTGTGCCATAGCATTGATTAAGCTTTTTGAAGGGCAAATTGAGCCTCCAAGAATGAGTCCTGATTTTGGATCGAAGGAGGCGATCTTAGACCTCCTTGTGGTGGTTCCAATTATGACCAATGCTTATGTTTGCCATTTCAATGTCCCGCCGATATACAACGAGCTCGAAGCACGGTCTCCACAGAGGATGAATACGGTTGGGAGGATCACAACTGCTATATGCATTGTAGTTTATGCTTTGACTGCCATATCTGGTTATTTACTCTTTGAGAACGATACCGAGGCAGACGTGCTGACCAACTTCGACAGAGACTTGGGAATTCGATTCAGCTCCGCATTAAATTATATTGTTCGAGTTGGTTATGTTCTTCATTTAGTTTTTGTTTTTCCAGTTGCTCATTTCTCGTTACGACAAACAGTCGACACCTTAGTATTCGAGGGATCAGCACCACTTGCAGAGAGCAGGAAGAGGTCTTTGGCCTTGACAGTAGTTTTGTTGGCGCTGATTTATATGGGTTCAACCATGATTCCTAACATTTGGATGGCCTTTAAGTTTACAGGGGCAACAACAGCAGTGTCGCTGGGCTTCATATTACCCTCAGTTATTGCCTTAAAGCTATGCAAGCAGAGTGGGCATAGGAGCTTGAACGCAACAGAGAAGCTCATATCATGGTTTATGCTAGTTATGGCTGTCATTGTTGGTATCCTTGGATTGATTGGAAATGTTTACAGCTTAAGCAATCAGTCCCAGTAACTCATTTTTCAGTACTCTAAGAGTAGATTTTTGCATAATACTTTACCGATTCTTCTGAGCTAGTTTTATTTGGCGCGGTCGTAACGTCCACGCCTGCATCGCCAATGGCTTGACTTGAGGTATGAAAAGGATAGTTTTGTTTTATAGCAGCATTGCTGGAGAGTTATGTGATACTACAGAGCTGCTGCAATTTTGCAGAAGTGAGTGAATCTCTCTTATGAATGTTCATCTTGTAAGGAATTAAGTTCCATTTGGTCCATATTGCATCTAATGGAATGATCATTTTACTACAATATGAAAGATTGAGCCCTTGGGACGTAAATTTACTGTTGTTAAATGCAAACTCTACTCTTTCTGATCAAACAATTTGAAAGGTATGTAGTTTACAATCTTGAAACATATAACTTTCTCTAGCCTGATCCCAGAAAATGCATGTTACATTGAAAGAAGAAAAAAAAAAAAAAAATCGTGTTGTTTACCTCAGTCTGTAACTCAAAAATTTCACCATAGGATGCATGTTTCACAGAGTTGATACTTCCAATTTCTGTTGATCAACTGGTAGCAGCCATGCCCAGTTGGAATTATAAGAATGATATAAGAAAATGAGTTCGAAGCCACTACTTAAATTTGAATGTGCTGTCTTCTGTACAGCTATACCTTACCAGTAATCCCTGCAGTTACATGACCCATCAAGAAAATGGTGGAGCCTATACCCATCTCTTATAATTATCTTTCGATGTGTGACTTGAGAGACGAATTTCATGAAGGTATGACAGTCTCCACAAATCCGAAGATTCTTCGTGATTTGAATTGGCGCACCGATCGGTGTGTGCAAGATACCATAAGCAAGAGCAAGCTTCTCACTATGATATAGAAGCTCATCTAGTTTTTGTTCATCTTCCACATCATGAAGCACAAAATTTGTCTCAGGCACATACCCTCCCAGAGTAAGCCGTTCTAGTAACACCTTCAAGCATGAATGAATCTCTTTGATTTCGTCGTGAGAGTCGTCCTTGGTAATAAAATAGTGTATTCTGCACCTGATCTGAATCCAACTGGCTCCTGGTTCTTTTGCAACCTCCTTGTTCTTCATCATGTTTTCGATTTCCGAAACCTTCTCCCACAGACCTTTACATGAATAGATGTTAGATAGTAAAACATATGTTCCATGCCTGCTAGTTCCCATGCTAAGTAGCCTTTCAGCAACTCTTTGAGCAAGTTCTATATTACCATGGATCCTACAGGCACCAAGAAGTGCCTCCCATATCACACTATCCTGATTTACCGGCATGTTTTCGATGAGAGCTTTGGCATCGGAAAGCTTTCCAGCCCTGCCAAGGAGATCAACCATGCATGTATAATGCTCAACTGATGGGGTAATTCCATGATGATTCATGAAACTAAAATACTTCCAGCCTTCATCAACTAATCCAGCATGGCTGCAGGCACACAGAACACCAATGAACGTAATTTCGTTGGGCAAAATTCCTACAGCTTCCATTTGTTTAAAAATCTCAATAGCCTCTTTTCCTAGTCCATTCTGTGCAAAGCCAACTAACGCGGCATTCCAAGTAACCGTGTCTCGATCAAACATCTCGTTGAAAACAGATATTCCTTCTAGACTACCACACTTGAAATACATTGTTATCACAGCATTACACACAATCAAACAAGAATTGAGCCCAAGTTTGTATGTCAAGGCATGAATTTGTTCCCCAAGCTTAGTAGTACCAAGCGATGCACAGGCAGAAAGGAGGGTGGAAATGGTCGATTCATTTGGCGTTGTCCCTACAGAGAGCATGTCATGGAACAATCCAAATGCAACATCCTCCAACCCGGCTTTCTCATAAGCTGATATAATGGAAGTCCAAGACACAACATCACGCTCTGGCATCCTTTCAAAAACCTTCCATGCATCATCCAACATATTGTTCTCCACAAACCCACTGATCAGAGAGTTCCAAGACACAGTGTCTTTACTTTTCATAGTGTTAAATAACAGAACAACACCATCGATGTCCTTACATTTGGCATACATTGAGATCAATCCATTCCCCACAAATAAATTAAACTGGCACCTCATTTTGATGGAGAGAGCATGAATCTGCCTACCAACCTCTACAAATCCAATATTTGAACAAGCAGAGAGAGAACTGGTGAAGGTTGAATGATTTGGTACAGTTCCTGATCTATGAAGATCAGAAAACAATTCCAAAGCCTCAATGCTTTGGCCATTTTGTGCAAGACCAGCGATCATGGCAGCCCAGGAAACTGCATTACGCACTGGCATTCTCAAGAAAGTATCCTTCGCTTCTTCAAGCATTCCATTGTGCGCATATGCAGCAACCATAGCATTCCAAGCAACCACATTGGGCTTCACAATCTCCTCAAACTTATTCCTGGCCTCCTCAATCCTTCCCTTATGAGCAAAGGCAGTGATAATCGCTGTTTGAATGGCAACACTTTCCTGAGAAGTTCGCTCATACAAGGCAATGGCATCGTTTAACTTATCACATTGAGAGAAAGCTGAGATCATTGTTGTCCATGAATACTCGTTCTTCTCCGGCATTGCCTCGAAGAACTGAAATGCAGGCTCTAAACTTCCATTCCTTGTATAGGCATTAAGAATTGATGTTCCCACAAGAACATCACTCTCATAACCAACCTTTACAGCCATTGTTCTCAAACTCCCAAGCAACTCCAAATTATCCAACCAAGCAACCGTTGAGAAAGCAACCACAAAAGTTGCCTGATCAGGCCTCGCCCCACTCCTCAGCATCCTAGAAAACACACGCCAAGCTTCTCGATACTCACCAATCTCAACATACCCCGACATCATAACCATCCACGATACAGAGTTCCGCTCCACCATCCGATCAAATAGCTCACGAGCCTCAACAACCATTCCAGAATGACAATACCCAGTAATAATCTGATTCCACGACACAACATTTCTCTCGGGCATTTCGTCGAACAGCTTCCGCGCAGTCCTCAAGTCACCAATTTGCACATACCCACTAATCATCGCATTCCAAGAAACAATATTCCGCTCCGGCATCGACTCAAAAACAGTCACAGCCTCATGTATAAGCCCATGTCTCGCATACCCCGTCAACAAAATTGTCCAAGTCCTCACATTTTTCCCTCGAAACGCATCGAAAAGCGCTTTTGCTTCGCGCAAAAGTCCGTTCTGTGCATACCCAGCAATCATCGAGTTCCAAGAGGCAGAATCTCGCTGAGACATGGATTCGAAGACGTCTCGGGCCTCGGTGAGTCGGCCAAGTTTGGTGAGTTGAAGGATCGTTTTGTTGCATTGGAAAAGGATTGATTTGAGGTTGTCCTGCGTTGGGAGGGGGAGAGTGGAGACGCGTCGGATGCGAAAAAGAAGAGGGCGTATCATTGAACATAGTGAGCGGTGCTGTAACCCTCACGACCCTAAGCTTTGATCTCAGATTTTCGCTAATAAACTCAATACTGCCGATGAAGATCGGGAAAACTCGGGTACTTGAGAGGCGGCGCAGCAAAAATTCTCGAATTACCAAGTTATTGTAATTTCTTATTTATTTGGTTAAAATAACTTCATTTTATTTCATCCCATTTATTTTCAAATATTGAAATTTAATAATTTACTTTTCACAAAACTTATAATTTGATACTATTAATAATTTTAATCACAAACAAAAATAATAAAGAAAAAAAATATATGGTCCATAAAAAATAAAATGAATTTCAGAGTATAATAGCTAAAATATTATTTTAATTAATTTATTTATTTTTATTATCGTGTCTATACTTTTTTCACTTTTAATTAATTTGTCTATAATAGCTAAAAATAAAATGAATTTCAGAGTATGACGATTTTTCACTTTTTTGATGTTTTTTAAGACACATAAAAAATCAAACTAAATTATAGAAAAATCATCATACTCTTGACCTTTTATAAAAGTTCGAATCAAATTTTTAAAGAAAAATTTAGGATTTTCATACATTTTATCCAAAAAATATTTTATTTAAAAAATAATAATAATAATAATAAAAACTATGTGATTGATCTTCGAAAATTCTCCACCTTAATGTTCATGATATTAATTGAGAAATTTGGCACAAATTGTGAATGAAATGGGAAGGGAATGAAGTCGGGGAACCATCCCGTTCTACCTCAGCCCATCAATATTTTGCCCTAATTTTGGTTCGAAGTTGTAAAGGATTTAAAATCTTAAAACTATAGAAGCTAAGATGAAGTACACTTTGCTACTCAAATTCACTAACATGACTAAACGCAACAACGTTTTGAAGAGCCGTCCGCCAATTATGTACAAATCAAATTCACTTCAGTGCAATCAAGCAGAGCAACAAACTACTGAGATCACTCTTTGATCTTCATCAACAATTCAATAAATTAATCGAACATCTATCAAATCAAAAAAGGTCTCTCAGATTTCAAAAGCGAATTCATCATCATCCACCTCGTCATAAAAAATAAAGAGAAGCGAACGCTTAATCATCGGTTTGAATTACGCTTTCACCTAAACAACACGCAAAATTCCCGCGGAAAACAGAGACGTACGACAAAGAGAATCATTACGTATATACATACGCGATTCACGATCAAGAAACCGCCAATCCATAGTCGGAAGCGGCATTACAGAATCGAGAAAGCTTAGGCTGGAAATTCCTCCTTCTCTGGAGATCTTGACTCGACGGCTTGATTACCTGCATAAGAAACGCCTTAACGAGATCTGTCGTGGAGGCGGCCTTCGATTGGTTTCCAGGCGGAGGAAGCGGCGGCATTTTGTTGGAGGCCTTCCGCATACGACGGTGGAGGCTGCAGCGGAAGGAGCCAGGGTGAGTGGTCGGAGCACAGAGACAGAGGCGGCGGGAAGAAGGAGCGGTTTTGTTCGCCATTAAAGACGGGAAGTTGAAACTTGCATGTGGGAAGGAGAGGGTTGGTTAAGTGATGAAGTTTCACCGTTGGAAATTGGACATAAAGGTTTGCGGGAGGGGTAAATATGTAACTTTACAGAATTTATTTTTCCTAATATGCCCTTGCCTTCTCGTAATGTTGTAGGGGGGGTTTTGGTCTTTGTACGTGCTTTGCCCATAGAGTGTTACTCTGCCAGTGCCAGCCCTTGGTTTTGAGATCGGAAGGGAAACGTAAAAATATGGCAATTGGAAGTTTTCAAAATGAAGCGTATTAAATTATGTTAATGTTAAATCGATTTTTAGGTTTTATTTTTTTAGTCAAATTACACCATTTTCATGTTTATCCATAATGGAGTAAATTAAAGATTATCGGAAGTATTTAATAAAAACTTAAAATTTTAAACTTTATAATTTAAATATGTTTTAAAATTCAATGTTAGAGAAAAATACTTTTACAACATAAAATATGTATTAGTTATTATAAGAAACTATCACTATTAAATTTACATTAAAAGCACAAACTACTCATGAGTTATAAGATTTTTTTTTTTTTTTTTTTGGGGGGTTAATATTAATATTAGACTTCTCAAATTTTATAGAATTAAAAAATATGTTAAATTATAATATTTCTCGAATTAAAAGTTAAAAAAAAAAAATACATGTCTCATTCACTATGTCTATCTCAATTGTAAAATTCAAATTAAAACATTATATAATGAAATATGAAAAAAAAAAAAAAAAGATAAAAATTAATGACTAGATATTTGTTTATTAAAATGAGAAGGCAGTAGATATGCATGCGTGTCTCTATCTCTGCCACATAGGCAGTGACAAGGCAAAGAAAAAAGTGGTGAAAACAAATCCCAGCAAGCATTGGTGGCATTACACTAAAACCTTATGGAGTTATTTCCTTCAAAAAAAAAAGTTAATACTTTTTTTTTTTTTTTTTTAAATGAAATTAAAGAAGAATCTTCAAGTATTATCCATGGTAAATACTTTTATAGGTTAAAATAAGGATCTTGCACTCAACTACAAAAAAAAGTAACTGGAGAACCTGCTTAAGGTAAAAATTCAATCTTCTGCAGCTGCAGAGGCGTGATGGGGGAATGTAGACCATACATTTTCCCATGTTCTTAGGCCGTCGGTCACATCTTTCACGACCGAGGCTGCTTCCTCCACGCTCACACGAATTTGGTCTTTGCTATCCCTCTCTCGAATTGTCACTGAAGATGTTGAATCGACAGTGATTGCGAAAGGAACGCCAAGCTCGTCTGTTCGTGCATATCGTTTTCCTATCGATGTGCCTGAATCGACAGTGATTACGAAAAACATGAGTAGAGTTATATCAATGCAGAAGAAGGTAAGGATCAGGATTCTAAACCAAACAGGGAAGAACAGCAAAACATTATTATTGTAATTCATCCTATGTTTTCATCTCCCAAGTTTTCATTCATTTCTTAGAACTTAAAGTCTCATTTACAGCTACAGAAGAACAGCAAAACAAAATCGAAAGTTATGTTCGAGTACCTGTAATGTCGATTTTATGGGAAATGCCAGATAGAGTTAACGACTTCGAGATAACTTTGGCGACCTGCTCGTACTGCTCATTCTGAACAAGTGGGAAAACTGTGCACTTGATAGGTGCAACGAGGGGTGGAAATCTAAAGACGTTTAGCTGCTCATCCCCACCTTTACTTGGTCTCATGTAGTAAGAGTGTTCAAAGAGGCAATAGATAATCCGACCAATACCAAAAGAGGGTTCGATCACGGATGGTGTGAAAACCCTCTGATGTTCCTTCTTTTTCTCCTTCGAAATTGCAACCATACTCTTCTTGATCAACACATTCTTCCCCAGTGTGCAGACATAGAACTCCACCTCTCCATTGGATTCTAGATTTGCTTTCATTTCCAAGGCTTCTTTCTCCTTCATCGCCTAAAATAATTGCATACTATGACAGTCAGGTTTTCCAAAAATTACAGATGCCACAAATCGCTCGGCCGAAAAAAAAATCCATAAGTTACCTCCAAAGCTTCCACAACGTTCTTTTGACTTCCCTTGAAAGCGAGGCCAAGTTCTTTCTTAACAGGAGCAATGACCAATTTCTGAAATTTAATATCACGAGTGAATGTAGAGCATTAGAACAGTTCTTTTTTCTCATGAAGATATTCACAGATCTCAAAAAACTTCAGATATAACAAGAATGATAAGTACCTCAACTTCTCTTGGTTCCGCGAATTTCTCGTGGGCTACAAGAGGAACACCACTTTTTTCCTATTAAAAGGAGAGGTGAAAAATATGAGAGTTCATTTACATGCAACTTGAAACAATATTGTAACGGCCTAAGCCCACCGCTCGTAGATATTGTCCTCTTTGGGCTTTCACTCAATGTTATTAAAACGCGTCTATTAGGAAGAGGTTTCCGCACCCTTATAAAGAATGTTTCGTTCCCCTCTCCAACCGACGTGGGATCTCACAAATACAAACACAATCTCAATGGTAGAACTCTTGAAGACACTTCAATCTTATAAATCCTACCAAGCAATAGGGCAGTTAATGGAACTCAATGAAAACTAAACTAGCTTTGAAATATCTGCCATCAAATTAAAGACATTATCTTGAATTACAACTATTTGGAAAAGATAAAGGTTATCTGAATTCGTACCGTGTGGGCATGTAAATCATATGCAGATCTGTCAGCAATACCAACACATTCAATCCAACCATATGAAGATTCAATCTCAGCGTCCCAACAGTCAGCTGCATAATGAGCCATTTCATTTGCAAGGTGCTGCCGGAAACGCAAACGATTTTTGTCTATGCCAAGGCGAGTTAGGAAAAGATATACTCTCCCAATGAAGTAGCCAAGAGTTTCATTATTTACAGTTCCCTGCGTCACAATATATCATATCAACCTAGCACACAGATACAAGAGACATGGTAGTGGGAATATGAGAAGTAGAGATTCAGTACACAAACCTTTGCAACAGCTTCACCCAAGGGAATTATCCTTGCAGATTTACCAGACATTTGCTCCTCCCTTGGAAACATCAAAAACTCCAAGTTCGCTACATCAGTGAATTTTGGATGGGATTTGTCTTCAGGATCAACAAAGTGCTCGATCTCTGCTAGCGTGAATTCACGAACCCTAAGCAGACCTTGACGAGGAGATATCTGTAGTAAAACAGATGGACTGAAAATTGAACATACACACCAAAGGAAACAAAACAGACGAACCTTGGACAAGGGCTAGCAACAAGAACCATTTTGAAAGCAACAGTCACAAGAACCAGAAAATAATAGACATGGGAATTGAAAACAAAGTAAAATACAGGTCATTCTTGTAATGCTAAGTCTCCTCCATAAATTGCAAGTGTAATTAAGAAGCTAAAAAACAAGTGGGTAACCTCATTTCTGAAAGCTTGCCCAATTTGTGCTGCAGCAAAGGGCAGTTTGTTTCCATTGTAATAATATAAATCTTTAAAATTGACAAATATGCCCTGCGCTGTTTCGGGGCGCATGTACCTGCATCATTTACATATATACACATCTAAGTTAATCACGTAACGAATTGCATTGACCGAGAGTGGATAAACAA